ATTTTACCAAAATCCACCTCATCTAGAACCACAAATGGTCGTGTATTTTGTCCAACAGTATTTTTTTTTAAATAAAAAGAGGCAAATGAGTAAGAAATGAGCTTTTATTAGAGATTTAGTTTAAAAAGAAGCTCTTAGAATTGTATTAACATTTAAACTAACTCACCTGTCTTTTGTTACTCTATATTCACAGCTAGCTGGCAGAATCATATTTTGGTCCTAATCAAAATGTAGACCCAAATAATGAAAATATGCAGTATGTCTGTATGCATTTAATGTATTTGTAGTGGCTGAGGTTATCACAAAAAAGGCTCCCTTCCATTTATATTGTTACTGCTTTTTTTAAATCAGAGAACTTTAAAATTTGACTGATTATTGCTCAAAGATTTTAGTAATCTGTTAAAATTTCCACATATTTATACATAATAGAAAATTTAATCAGAAAGGAATCAGGTAACAGACAGGAAGTTGTGATGATAAAGTTTTGATATAGAAAGATACTTGTGTCAAAATTAAGGAATAGTCAAAGAAACTTATCGATCAAATGGCAGAGATTTCATATTTGCAAATTAGGACAATAATTAAACCTGTGTTAACATTAGTAGCAATAAATATTGTAACTTCAGGTTGATGTAGTAACTCATACCTATAATACCAGAATTTTGGGAGGTTGACACAGGAGGATCACTTGAAACTAGGAGTTTAAGACCAGGCTGGGTAAAATAGTGTAAAATAGTGAGACCCTACTTACACACACACACACACAAATGTAAAATAATGAGACCTCACTTACACACACACACACACACACACACACACACACGCATGCACGCACACACGTTGAGCATGGTGGCACACATCTGTAGTCCGAGCTGCTTTGGAGGCTGATGTGGGAGGATCGCTTGAGTCAAGGAATTTGAGATTGCAGTGAGATATGATCACCCAAATGTACTCCAGCTTGGGTGACAGAGTTAGACCCTGTCTCTAATAAATAAAGGAACAAAGGAATGTAGGAAGGAGAGGAAAGTAGAAAAGAAAAAGGAGAAGAAAGGAGGAAGCAAGAAAAGGAAGAAATTTCTCAAAATCACATTTAAAAAGTTTGTAGGCTCATGATCCAGTATTTTTCTTTATTCATTAAGTGAGCTCGTTAGAGAGACGAGGACAAATATATTGCTGCTGAAAGCCATATAATTCTCCTCAAGACTTACGTATATCCTGATATGGTTGGCTCTGTGTCCCCATCCAAATCCCATCTTTTAATTTCCACGTGTTGTGGGAGGGACCCCATGGAAGATGATTGAATCATGGGGACAGGTCTTTTCTATACTACTCTCGTAGTAGTGAATGGGTTTCATGAGATCTGATGGTTTTAAAAACCAGAGTTTCTCTGCACAGCACTCTTTTTGCCTGCTGCCACCATGTAAGATGTGACTTGCTACTCCTTGCCTTCCACCGTGATTCTGAGGCCGCCCCAGTCATGTGTAACTGTAAGTCCCATAAACTTCTTTCTTTTGTAAATTTCCCAGTCTCAAGTATGTCTTTATCAGCAGCATGAAAATGGACTAATACATATCCTGAGTATCTAGGATAAATTCATGTGATCTCTCCATCATCCACATTTTTGGTAATTGGTATTAGTTATTTGTATTTGCTCTTTTTCTTTCATTTGATCAGTATAGCTGAGACATTAATTTTATTGATATTCTCAGGGCACCAGATTTTGGCATTGTTATTTTCTCTATTGTTTTCTCTTCCATTGATTTTTCTCTTTAATGTTTCCTTCTTTCCATCTGCTTTGTGTTTGTAGTACTTTGCGCTTCTTTTTGTAGCTTCTTAAAGTGAAACCTTCGGTAATTGATTTTAGATATTTCTTCTTTTCTAATATAAACCTTTAAAACTGTAAATTTCTCCCTAAACATTGCTTTAGCTGCATCCCACAAATTCTCATATGTTGTATTTTTCATTTTCATTCAGTTCAAAATATTTTTAAATTTCCTTTGTGATTTCTTAGTTAACTGATGGATTATTTAAAAGTATATTATTTAGTTTCCATATATCTGAGTTTTTCTATATGTCTTTTTGTTAAATTCTAATTTAATTCTGTTTTGTTCAGATAAGCATGTTCTGAATGATTTCTACGTAGGAATTGACTTTTTGATCATCATGAAGTATCCATTTTTTATTTTGGGCGATACTCTTAGTTTCTGAAGTTTATTTTATGTGATATTAATATATTAACTTTAGCTTTTCTGTGCTTGCTGTTTGCATGATGTATACATTTTTAGCCATTTACTTTTAACCTATCTGTGTCTGCTTATTTAAACTACATATTTTGTAGATAGCATACAATTGTTGTTTTAGATGGCATATAGGATTGCTTTTTATTCATTTGACAAACTCTACCTTTTTACTATATTTCATTAATATCTAATGTGCTTATTGGTATAATTAGATTTAAGTCTATCATTTTATTATTATTTTATGTCTATCCCCTCTTTTTTTCTTTTTACTTCCTTTCCAACTTCCTTTTGGATTAATGAGTATTTTTAATAATTCCTTTTAGGTTAATCTATTTTCTTTTTAGCTATACTTATTTTCTTCTTTTTTTTAGGAGTTGCTCTAAGGATTACAATGTATGCTCTTAACATTTCAGTGTACTTAGAGCTATTATTTCACCATTTGATGTGGAATATAGAAACCTTTTAAATGTATAGGTTCATTTACCTGCCCCATGTTTTATTCTGTAGAAGTTATTTGTATTATGTATACTTTTATTGTAAACCCTATAGTAAAATACTATTATTTTTACTTTAAGCACTTATATGTATTTTAAATAAAGGGAAATAAACAGTTTTTGATACTTACCTATATATTTACTTTCTAGTAGTCTTTATTCCTTTCTAAAGATTCATGTTTTCTTCATCTGTTATCATTTCTTCTCTGCCTGAATAACTTTCTTTAGTATTTATTCTAAAGCAAGCTTTTTGTTGATATTTGTTTACTTTTTCTTTGTCTCAAAAATGTCCTTATTTTTATTTTTGAGGGATATTTTGGCTGGATATAAAATTCTAGGTTGACCTTTTGTGTTCTTTCACCATGTTAAGAATTTCATTCCACTGTCTTGTGATTTCCATTGTTTTTGATAAGAAGTCAGTGACAATAATTTATATCATTGTTTCCCTGTATGTAATGTGTTGTTTTTCCTCTGAATACTTTCAAGATTTCTCTTCACCTGTAGTTTTAATCAATTTTACTATAGTGTTGCTAATTATGGTCTTCTTAATATTTATCTTACTTGGAGTTTGTTCAACTTTTATAGAATCTGTAAATTTGTCTTTTACTAAATGTGGAAAACTTTACTCACCACTGAAAAATTGTTTTCCGCCTCATCCTCTGTTTTCTCTATTTCTGGGTTTAAATAAACATGTTAGGCATTTGAATCTTGTCATACAGATCCCTAACGTTCTTTCTTTTCTTATTAACAATCTTTTTTCCTCTTAGTTCTTCATATTGGATAATTTTGATTGATTTATTTGCATGTATACAGATTTTTTTCCTCTGTTATTAACAGTCTGCTTTTAATCTCATCCAGCATAATTTTAATTTCAGAGATTGTGTTTTTCAGTTACGGAATTTTTTCTGGTATTTCTATTCAGATTGCTTAACTTTATATTCATTGTAAGCCTTGTTACACTTACTGCTTTAAAATCCTTATCTGCTAATTGTAACATCTAGTTTAATCTCAAGGTTGCTCTCCATATACTGTCTTTTCTCTTAAGAATAGAACACATTTTTTATGTTTCTTAACATATCTAGGAATTTTGGATTTTTGTCCTAGACAAGGTAAATATCGTATTATGAATACTCTGTTGTTTTCCTCTGAAAAACATAGTTTTGTTTGTTTATTTATTTGTTTAGCAAGGAAATCACTTGGTTAGGATTAAAATTGCAACAATTCTGTTTTTGTGTTTGTTTGTTTTTTGTTTCTTTTGAGACAGAGCCTTTCTCTGTTGCCCAGGCTGGAATGCAGTGGTACCATCTCAGCTCCCTGCAACCTCTGCTTCCCAGGATCAAGTGATTCTCCTGCTTCAGCTTCCCAAGTAGCTGAGATTGCAGGCATGTGCCACCGCGCCCAGCTGATTTTTGTATTTTTAGTAGAGACCGAGTTTCACCATGTTGGCCAGGCTGGTCTTGAACTCCTGACCTTAAGTGATATGCCCGTCTCGGCCTCCCAGAGTGCTGGGATTACAGGCGTGAGCCACCACGCCTGGCAAGAAGATAAAATATATTTAATATTCACTAAGTGGAAGTGGATCGTCATAACGGTTGTCATCCTCATCATCTTCATGTTGAGTAGGCTCAGGAGAAAGAGGCAGTGGAGGGGTTTGTCTTGCTGTCTCAGTGGTGACAGATGGAAGAAAATCCACTTATAAGTGGATCCATGCGGTTGTTGACCCATGTTGTTCAGGGGTCAACCTTAGTTGTTTTAAAAAATTATCTGTAGGATTGTCAGTCTGGTAGAGGTTTTTTTCGTTGTTGTTGTTTTTTTTTTTGGTCATTAACGTAACCAGAACCTGACTGTAATGCATTTAACGCAAAGAATAACTGGATTAGAGTGGATCAGTATTTGTATTGGAACAATTCAAAATAAGAAATAGATATGGAAGCAAAGATTGTAAAGGTAAGGAATATCCTATCCTTGTAACTTAGATTAGATACATTATTTGAGGATGTGAATAATTAAGACTTGATTTGAACTTTTAAGGCTAACTTTCAACTGCATTGTAGTTTCGTGTAAAGTTAGCAATATATATTTCCCTCATATTATTTTAAATGAGAGCATTTACTCATAAAGAATCATATTCAGGTGCTTGCTTCACATGGTTATTTAATTTCTGAGTTCATAACTAAGTAATATTTTTCAGGTAATTTAAAGAGTATTTACATTGCACAATACAAATTATAAACTAAATTTATTTAACAAAATCTGTTTACTGTAGGTCCAGGTCAAGACCTCGTCCACGTTCTCATAGTCGTAGCAGTGAAAGGTCCAGTCACAGAAGAACGCGTAGTCGGTCTCGGGATAGAGAACGACGTAAAGGCAGAGATAAAGAGAAGAGAGAAAAGGAGAAGGATAAGGGGAAGGACAAGGAATTACATAACATCAAACGTGGGTAAGTTGAAGCAAATCTTACTTGGAGAGAACTTGGTGATTCCATGGTGATGTTCAAACTAAATTTTTGTTCTTTGAGTTTTTCTTGTAGCTCAATTGCTATAAGAGTAGAAGAAAAGGAATAACGAGAGAATACAGTAGAGAAAGAAGAAAGGATAAATAAAAATATTTATCTCAGATTTTTATTGTGGTACATTTTCATTTTTAATTTATTTTTAGTTAATGATAATATAACAAATCTTGGAATCAATATAAACAGCATTATCAAAGTTTAGTATGTAAGTAGAGGAAAATTTGCATAATTCTGTAGGAAAGTTTTATATTTTGTCTCCTTTGTTATGAACATGAACTTAAAATTTGAAGACTACTTAGTGATTAAAAATGTCTATTACCTTATTGTAAAGCTGTTAGGGGAAAAGTATAAACTTTTGTAAAGGGCTAGATCAGGGGTATCCAATTTTTTGGCTTCCGTGGGCCACATTGGAAGAAGAATTGTTGGGGCCACATATGAAATACTCTAATGATATCTGATGAGCTAAAAAAAATATATATATATATGTCACAGAAATCTCATGTTTTAAGAAAGTTTACAAATTTGTGTTGGGTCACATTCAAGGCTGTCCTGGGCTGCATGTTGCCCATGGGCTGCAGTTTGGACAAGCTTGGGCTAGATAGCAAATAATTTAGGCTTTCTGGGTCATTTGGTCTCTGTTGCAGCTCTTGAACTTTGCAACTATCCATAATAGTAAACTAACAAACAGACAGGCTGTATTTCAGTAAAACTGTTTACAAAAATGGGCATCTGCCTGGATTTGGCTCAAGAATTGTCATTTCATTTCTGGCTTAAACTATGTGTACACTTAGTGCTAACAAGAAGCAGTTTGGAGAGAAACAATCTGAGGTTGTTTTTATACTTCTCACAGGCCAGTCTAAGGCTGTTGGCTTTCATTTGGCATGTATTATCTCATTTAATAACCTGATAAAATAGGTGCTTTTATTATCCTATTAATATAAATGAAAGGTGCTTAGGCTTATGGTCATAGTGCTAATAAATGGCAGTTAGGCTTCTAATTCAAATGGACTGACTGTCACTTGCCTCTTAATGACACACTATCCTCATTTCTTTAGTAAGCCATAATTATTAATGATGAGCAAGAGAGTTTGAGATCAAGTGATATGCTGTTGTTTAAACATTTCTAGAAAATAGTGACAGAGAACTGAAAGATTTTTCTGTGTACTCTTTTTCACTGGTCAGTCCAGAAATCTCATTAGTAAATGATTGATTCCTTCTTTTCTCTGTCTTTCTTTCTTAGTTTCCCACCTCAACTTAGAATTTTATTGAATTATATTCACAGACAATTTCTAGGCCTTAATTAAGTTTATTTTAGTGATGGTTTCATTAGCTCTTTTTTTCCAGGTGGCTTTAAAAATTTTTTGCAGAGAGAGGAAAAAGGATTTACAAACATTTAAATTAGGACTTATGTATTAGTTCATTGTGATTGTGCAATGAGTGACAAGTACTTTAGCTTGTGCTAAGTAACCTAAGTGCTTCTTCACATGAAAAAATAACCTATGTGCAAAAGTAATAGTATTTAGGTAGGTAGGTAGGTAGGTAGGTTGGTAGATAGAACACAATGTATACATTTATAAAGCACAAAGCAAGGACAGTAAGTTCAATAATGGTAAAGCAAAGTAAAGGATGTTTATAAATTGGGAGAAACAAAACAGGAAAGAAAGGAATGCTCAAGCAGCAATTAATGAGCTTAATAATAAGGGAGAGCTTTTTTGTACTTTTGAGAAAAACATACAAAATCAGATAATTCTGAAAAATCCTTTTTAAGTAACAGCTAATTATATAGTTCTGGAAATTCCTGGAACATTGAAATGGTAGAATTTGTCTTATAATGTCATAAATTGGCCCATTTATTTTATTTATCTTCTGATTTAGGAAGACCTAATATAAACTGGAAAGGTCTCTGGAATTTGTGGGGACTAAAACATACCTTTCCTTATGTGTGAATGATTAATCTAAGAAAGACACCGAATCCTGTCTGAAATTTTATCAAGAATCTTTAATGACTTTAACTTTTAATCTTTTATATTTATAATTTGGTTTCTAAGAATATTTCTTCTTTTAAACACTGATATAGATTTTTCTTATTTTTCCCCCTAGATTTTAAAAACTAAGTTTGTCTTATCCTGAGACAATTTTACTTATTTTTTAAAGTGAAAGCAAATTTATTAAGAAAGTAAAGGAATAAAGAATGGCTACTCCATGGGCAGAGCAGCTGTATTTCTTTTTTTTTTAATTTTAATTTTTTTTTAAAGACAGGATCTCACTCTGTTGCTCAGGCTGGAGTGCAGGGATGTGATGCACTCCAGCATCACATGTGATGTTCTACTATTCATTCTTAAATCATAGTGCCATCCTTAAAAGGGGAATTTTGATGGAATTGATTTAAATCACCAGCTGGGAAAATTTGGTTTAAGGCAGTTGTTGCCTACTGCTGTGGTTTGAATTTGTCTCCCAAAGTTTGTGTGTTAGAAACTTTATCCCAAATGTGGCAATGTTGGGAGGTGGGACCTTTATGGGAGGTGGGTCTTCCCTCATGAATGGATTAATGCAGTTATCAAGGGAGAGGGTATGCTATCATGGGAGTAGGTTTCTTATAAAAGGACAGGCTTGCCCCTCCTACACTCTCTTTACCCCTCTACTTTGAGATGATGCAGCAAGAAGTTCATTGTCAGCTGCTGGCCCCTGAATCTTGGACTTCCCAGCATCCAGAACTATGAGGCAATAAATTTTTATTCATTATAAACTAATTACCCAGACCGTTGCATTCTGTTACAGCAGCACAGAATGGACCAAGACACCTACTAACATGCTTTCTTCTTAATTTGAATAACTTTAGAATTCATTAGGAACCGAATTTTGTATTTCTAAGTATGCTCTTTATAACTTGCTACGATGAAAAGTTTTCACCTTTATTATTTCCTCATTAGATTTTCAGTAGATGAATACTGTTCTCAGAAATGTACCCATCAAGACTTTTGAGATATTTTACTGAATATTTGTGTTTATATATTCTTCTATTTTTCTTCGTATAATTTTCACAAGCTTTATACTTTTTGAGTGAGGTTAGAATTTGCCTCTGGATGTATAATTTATTTTTCTGTAAAATGGGGATGGTGGTACTTAAAAAGCTGTAAGTATTATAAGCAGTGTGAATAAGAAAACTAGTACCATGTAGTCAGCATTCCTTATAGAGAAATATTAGTTATGGCTTTAACCTTGGCAGTATTCCAGCGTCTTCAGTTCTAGACTTTCATGTAATAAATTCCTGTTGATAAGGGTTTTTTTTTGTTATTCCCCCTACCTAGTGATTGGTAGAAGATGTTAGGAGTGATTTGGGAAAGCTGGACTCTGAGTTTTGACAGCAGTTACATACTTATAGAGCCTGTCATATTTTTACTAACCTCTTATTTCTTTATACAGCAGGAAGTAATTTATGCTAATTTACCCCTATTTGCATATAGGTTATAGAGTTCTGTGGTGCAGAGCATGCTTAGAACTCCTTTTAAGTGTCTGTTTGGATCAAAGCAGGGCTGTGTGATAGCTGTTGTCTGACACCAAGCTGTGTGGTGTTGTTTTCATTAAACATTTATCACACTTCCAATGTGACAGCAGGCAACTTTGTGCCAGGATAACATGTTTTCATGCAAAATTTATTGAAAAAGACGAAGACTGTGTAAAGAGATCTTGTTGCCTTTCACCAGTGGCGAAGGGTAAATGTTTGGCTCGAAAGTATACCTTTAATACATGTCATTATAGCATGCAAAAAAAAGGTTCATACTGTCAGTTTTGTTAAGCAGGTAAACAAATACATCTTTATACACATGTATGCACTGGATTTTTTTTCTTTTTAAATTAAAAATTTTACAGTTTTCCTATAAATCAAATGAATATCATAACATAGTGGCTCATTGTGTTGCTGGCCATTTTATATTCCAGTGAAATTTACCACCCAATATCTATCCTGTAGGTTTGAGTATTTGGCATTAGTTTTGATTTTACCAAAACAATCTAATTTTTTAGAAAAGATGAGGTCAAGAAAGGGGACAAAATATAACAAAAAGAATATTCAGCAAAAGCAGGAGGCAAGGATTTCCTCAGTTCTCCCAGGTCACCACCTTTCTTTTATTCATTTTATCAATACATTTAAATTATCATACAGTGTGCCCAATGGGATTTGACTTGAATTATGCCTGATAACATTTTAAATGGCATGAATTGTAGGTTCATTCTTTTTTTGGTGATTGCTTGACTGTGAAAAGCTTTGGAATGAGAGAAGATACTTTAAATTTCCTTTTTCATTCCACAGGAGGCTGAGGAATTAGAGATATGTAAAGAAGTTAGAGGATAGGAGTAGCCTCATGCTGGACTTTTTAGTAAGTTTCATTATATGGTCTGTAAAAAATGTGGAGGATGCTTTGCAAGAGGTATTACAAAAATTATGTTAGCATTAACATTCAGGAATAAAAGGGAAAAAGTACTGAATTATAGTGTAATGGAAGAGCCTTGTCTTTCATCCCATATGGAATGAACAGAAACCTTCAAATTCTGACTCATTATGCTTTGGAGTTATTGAAGGATGATTTTTTTTAAACAGCAAAGCCATGCCTCATAAAAATATACATGAACACATGCCAAAGATATTACTTACTTAATTAATGAAAGAACAAGTAAGATATTACAAGTAGCTCAAAGGATCCAGAGCAGACACAAATAGAGGGTACCAAAAATCTAGACGTGAATAACGTTAATAAATTCAAAACTAGCTTCTTCCACATGGGGGAAAGAAATTAGTTACACCTCCACTGGACAAAATTCATTTGTATATTTATAGAAAAGAACTATTTGTATTGCTATCAATAATCTGTAACCTATGGAATCGAAAACTGTCTCAGATGAGGAAAGGTGCCCTAGACAATATACCCGGT